CTTCGAAGGCGATGTTGGCGCGGTTTGGCGGGGGGGGGGGGCATTCTGCACCCGTACGTGTGAGCTCGTGAAGCTGGAGTAAGCTCGTCAAGCCAGCATGGTAAAACCTGTCAACTCTTGTAAGCTCACGAAGTGGCTCTCTAGGTGGGTCGACACGTCGATGCGAAGTAGCAAAGTTGCAAAATGCTCCCCTCCCCCCGTCGCCGAACTGTCCCCAGTCTTCTCTTACGACCATGGTTAACGAAACAGTTGGCACAGTGCCAAAAAGACAGAAACCTGCGAAAAGCTATAGTCTATCCCCCCACTGGGAGGCAAAGTTGTAACGATATCTCTGCCACAAGGGTGAGTGACAGTTGGTTCAAATGGAAATCTCCCACAAAAAGCGCATCTACGCCATGTTCAGATAAGTGAGCAGCCACGCCTATTCTGTTCCCGTGATATGGAGTGAGGACCTGACAAGAATAGTCTTTCGAGATGTCAGATAACCGTGAAGAACATAATAAAGCAACAAAAAGCGAACACTGCACCACAGATGAAAAAAATGCTGGAAAACCTCCGTTAACAAAAAAAAGACGCAGAAAGAACCTTTGTTGACTTTTTTGAGACGGATGACCCCACATTTTCGAGGTAGTCGATCGCGGTCGACTTTCTTGTAATTTTACTACGGCTACAGCTTCATATGAGCACCTAATGTTACCCATCGAGTTGCAGCACTAGCTCTAGCCAAATGGAGTCGATACTTCAACTGGAAATGATTGAAAAGCGGAAATTCAAACAGATTTGTTAGAGGAATTAGTGATAAGAGAATGAGGAATAACAAGTGAAACATCGATTATCTGGAAGAGGGATATATGGAGTGAAAGCGACCGACCGACCATCATTGTATAACCTGTTTTTGGTACTCGGCTCGACTCGCTTGAGTATAAACTGTCGGATCGAATTACGTGATGATGCCGCAGTGTTCTAAAGGATGACCGCCACGTCCGGCCCGCCTCCTCTTACTCCTCCTCTTCGACCTCCTTGTCCACTCTACTATCTTTTTCGGAATTTGCATACGGCTGGACTGGCAGTGTGTGTGTGGGTTGGGGAGAAGTCACAAACAAGGACAGATGTGCCGCGTAGCACACGAAAGCCGAGAAAATGATTTATGGTTGCATCGACAGCTCATATGATCGTAGGTCAGACCGTCATCTGCTCGCCCAGACACCTAAG